TGTCAGTCTGGAAACATCTACATTAGTGGTACTGCTATAATCCCAAGGGTTTCATTCATTAAGGACTTCACCAAGCAAGCTGTTGATGTGGCAGGCAGAGTGGGTGGTGTTTCGGCGGTATAAGGCTAGGGGAGACTGGCCCTTGTTCTCAGGGAGGCAGACTGAATGGGAGCCATGGGCTCTGAACACAGAAGGGGTGTTGACTGTGAATCCCACAGAAAGGCATCTCTAGGGAAAGTTTTGTGACGATGTCTGGAAAGCTGGACAGGATGCTCACAGATGCAATGAAGATAAGGGGTGCAGCAAGGACGAAAGAAAAGAGACAGGTTTGGGGCAAAGAGGGTCACGTGTGGTCACACAGCAAATGAACTGGGACTGGAGAGTGACAGAAGCAGAGATGAACATTTCCTTTGGTGGCAATGAGGAATCACAAAGAAGGGTAAAAAAAAATGTATCCAGCCTGCAGGAGTGTGAATGGTTCCTCGTGGCCTGCCCCCTCATGTACAATTGAGCTATTTCTCTAGCCAGAGTACTGGGAAAGAAAGGGTCCCCCTTCCTGTCAGAGACACTGCCAGGACAGGGCTACGGGTACTCCAGGACTTTAACATGGCATTCTCCCTACTGCCCTGCCCCTCCTTCAGGCTGGAGTAGTCTTAATCTGGTAGAGTAGCCAGCAGAGGTGAATGATACTGTCCAAGGTGCTGAAATCCTGCTCGACCCCCATCTGAAGCACTCCTGATGTCCCAGAGCTTCCTTTGGGCTGAGAATTTCATTCCTATTTTTCCAAAGGAGAAACAGACCCTAAAACATGAGCAGAACCCAAAGTATAACTGTGTCCTTGCCCTTCTAGCCCAGTAATTATTTTCCTGCATCAGGAAGGACTCATGCCCCTCACCAATGGAGGCCCTGGGTGATCTTTTTATCAAGGCTAAGCTAACATGGAAAGTGACCCTCTTTTCTTCTACTCATGGTCTCACCTCTGTCTCTTCCCATGATGACAGTGACATTTCACAGGACCTCCTGAGGGACAAGTCAGAATGGCCCACAGGTGCTGGTATAGACCAGCATAGGCTAGCAATGTATATGCTCATGAATCTGTCTCTCCTGGGATGCCTGGATGCAGCTCACTTTGATACTCTCTGGGCATCGCACGTGTGTTGGACCTGACAAACCACATCTACTCTCTACCCTCATTGCTTGGCGTCTGAGCAGGTACCTATTGTGCTTTAGACACTGATCTGCAAACTCACATATGGGAAGCACCCTACTCTCACCACAAAGCCCCTTATCACAGATGAGGACAGTCAGGCTTAAGCAGGATTTAGGACTTGTCATAGGCAAAGGCGGTAGTAAAAAGCTGGGATTTGAACTCTGGTCTGTGTTGTTGTGGAGTGTCTCGTCCATCAACACTCATTACCATTCAAGCATGGAGTGGCTCCTGCCACTTCTGGCTTTCTAATCCTGGCCAAGTTTCTTTCCCTGCCTAAATTTCAGCTCATTTGCAAGCCGAGGAAAGTGGCAATATATGTCTGTAGGGCTCTCATGAGACATAAACCAGATGATGCATGCAGCAAGAACACAATGAGTGCTCTCCACTAGACTGAGTATCATTACGATCGGACAAGGTCCTTGATGGCTGGATGGGTGTCTGATGAGTCTTACCACACCCCGAGTCCTTGGCATCATAAACATCAAAGTCTTAGGATTGAAGGGACAATCATCAGGAGTCATCAGCATCAGCCCATGTCTATTCCTGCCCTGTGTCCCCGTGGCCTCATGGAGTGGAGTCAAGTCCCTGAGCTCCCAAGGGCAGTTCTATCCTAACTCATCAATGCCATTCACGTTTACCTGCAGCCCATCCCAGCCCTCACAGGGGCAATGTTCATAAAGTTGCCCTCACATCCTTCTCAAGGGCCCTTGGAGAGGATCTGGGGGTGTAGCTCAGTAGGTAGAGCGCTTGTCTAGCATGCACTCACTACCCTGCTGCTACTCAATCACAGCAGCAGGTAAGGCTGATAGACTCCTCCCATCCTACATGGGTAGGGAAACTGAGGTCCAGCAAGGTAAAGTAGCATAGCCAATGTTGCCAAGTTTAGGCTAAATCTCCAACACCCAGAAATGAGCTTTTAAAATAGCTCTTTATTAATTCCTTGTGCCATGAAATCTTTCAGCACATGGGCAGGTATGTAGTCACAAATCAACGAACACAAAGGCACCGCTAATTATTACTGACTGTGGGATGCTCTGGGGGAGACTGGGCTTAGTCTACTCTGCTGATTGATGGCCCCATCCCCCATATTACCAAGCGGGCTAATTGCAGGAAGTCACATCATTCAGAAACTGGGGCAAGGCAGGAGTAATGGCTTCGCCCCCCTGGAGCCTGAGGCTCCTGGGAATGAATCAGGCCATTGAGAACAACGAATGCTTTGTAATCACCTCCAGCAGCCCCTGTCCAGCACCACAGGCCCCGGGAAAGCCTCTTCAGGTACATAATGAGGCTGAGCAGGAGTGGGAATTCATGGGGTCTCACCAGGACAGTCTGTCCTGTGCGCCAGTTTAGAACGCCAGGTAGTCAGGGCCCAATGTTGAGAGGATGCTGATAATCTGATCACCAAACCCCGCAAAGTTCAAAGACAGGAAGTCATTTCTGTTCTAGATGGGAGGCAGCAGCCTAGCTTCCAGTGGATCCCTGGCTGGGGGCAGCAAGCACAAGAACAGACAAATGCTCCCTTCCCCAACCCTCCTGGAACCTCCATTTTCTTTTCTGAGCAGCAGTGCAGACAACAGGAGACAGCAGGGAAACCGAGGAGGGAGAGTATGAGCAGGGCCATGACAAGGGACATTACCAGACAATGACGACTTTCAACCAGTCCCTAATTGGGTGTGCCAATGCATTCATGAAGTTTGCCTAGTAAACCATCTCAGAAATCAGCCCCTCAGGACTGGGGACTCAGCTCAGCTGGCAGAGTGCTTGCCTAGCACACGTGAAACCCTGAGTTTAACCCCCAGCACTACATAAAATGGTGATGTGTACCTGTAGTTCCAGCACTCAGTGGATGGAGATAGAAAGATCAGGAGTTCAAGGTCAGTTTCAGCAACATAGTTTAAGTCCAGCCTCGGCTACATAAGGTTCTATCTAAAAACAAAATCAGTGGGTTCTTCCTCCCTGTCTGTTCACATTTGTATAGGAAGGACCTGGAACCTGAGAGAAGTCATTCCAAAGTCATAGACCTTCCTTAGCAGTCAGGGGCTAGGAGAGGGACAGAATGTCCCTCCAGCAGCCTACTGCAAAGTTCAAGGTTATCCCTGCTATCTAGCAAGTCAGAAAACCTGCAATACATAAGACTATCTTAAAAACAAATAACTTTAGGAAGGAAGAAAGGAAAGAAGGAAGGAAGGAAGGAAGGGAGGAAGGAAGAAAGAAAGAAAGAAAGAAAGGAAGAAAAGAAAGAAAGAAGAAAACCTTGCTATGCACCTGCTCTCTCCACTGTGAGGACCACTGGTCAGCAGCACCCACAGCCCGTGGGAACTCATCAGATATATAAAGAAGCCTCAGCCACATCACAGACATGCTGAATCTGACCTGTAATTTACCAAGGCTCCAGGAATCCCTTCTTCGTGCCTGTAAGCAACCTTGTAAGGTGAGAATCCCTTTACAGAGGATAAACAGAACCCAAGAGAGTGGGTCCAAGGTCACATGATTGGTAGGTAGGGCAGCCAGGATGTGTGTGACCTGGGCACAGGCTCCAACTCCACAAACACTTCTCAAAGCACAATGGGTCATTGTCCCTAGGGACGCCTAAGTACGGGGGTCTTCAGACCAGCTGAGCATATCCCATTCCCAATGTCAACTTCCCCCCAAATCAAACCTTGTAAAGACCAGCATGATTGATGAGGAAATACAAACAGTGAACAAACACGTAGGGAAATGTTCGCTCTACCTAGTAATCAGACATGCAAATGAGAGCAACATTTAGGAACCATTCTCTACCTATATAATTAGCAAGACTGGAAAAAAAAAGCATGCAAAAACTGTTCTGAACAAGGCGCATGCATATACAACCCGCGACGGCATAGATTTATATAACCCTTTGGGAAAGTGATCTGGCAACATCCATCAAGAGCCATGAATATATTGTGCCCGCTGACCTGGGAATTCACCCGAAGGAAATAATTCAACGGGAGAGCGGGGTAGGGAGCTGAATGTAAGAAGATGCTCACTGCAACACTGGCTGTGAACATAGGACAATCCTAATATTCTGCAGGAAGGGAAGGGCTGGGGGAAACGGGCATCTATCAGTTCCTGCTCTGAGGCAGCCATCTGAAATGAAAATTAAGAGGTCCGAGCAGTAATATAGAAATGTGAATAAAAGAAAGAATGGGGGTGCGGCTGGAGCTTAGCAGCAGTGAGTGCACTTGCCTCCCGTGGGGGGGGGGCCTGTAGGTTCAATCCTCAGGACATCCCCTCCCCCCTATACACACAACACCCCCAACCCATACACAGAATTAACCTTGCCCAGCTTGAGAGTGCATGCCTGTTATCCCAGCATGCCGAAAGCAGAGGTGGGTAGATCTCTGTGATTTTGAGGCCAGTTCAGTCTACACAGTGAGTTCTAGGCCAATTGGGGCTATATAGCGAGGCCTTGTTTCAGAATCAATAAATAAGTAGAAAGGAGAATACAAAGCTGCTATGTGAGCTGGGGTGATGATGCTGTGAAAATATTGTCTGCACAGGAGGACTGGGCAGAGCTGAAGACAGAGGAAGACATTTGCAGAATCGAGAACATGGACAGACAAACGCCTTCTCCTATTACCGTTGTAGTTACAAGCCTTGGAGAGCAGCTCCAAGGGCTCTTGGACACAGACGCTGCGTCTGAAGGTGACACAGACACAGCCCTAGACCTTAATCCTAGGTAGAGGGTCACATTCCAGATTGCCAAAAGTATGGGAGCTGGCCCACTAGGGACCAGGGAGGCTATGAGAGGCCCCTTCTGACTCACCATGAAGCCTGGGGCACAAGTGCAGCCCCCAGTGATGCTGTGGCAGTCAGCGCCATTCTGGCAGGTGCAGGGCAGCTGGCAACCGTTGCCATAGTAGCCGGCAGGGCAGGATTCGTTGCAGAAGTGGCCTGACCAGCCAGGTTGGCAGGTACAAGCTCCAGTGACTGGATGGCAGCTGAGCAGGGGAAAGAAGGGAGACGAGGGCATCGCGTTCAGGGTTGTGTGCATTCAGGCAACTCTGCCCCCTCCTCTGCCTTCCCATGGTAGTGAGAGCCACAGACCCCTGTGATTAAGCTAGTCATGTCTTGCTGTTTATGAGAAGAAGCCATGGCCATACATGGTCTTGTTAGTTCCCAGAAATGAAGACTCATAATTAAGTAACTTGCCTAAGTCATTCAGCAAGGAGGTACATGGCCAGAATTAGAACCCAGGCCTTCTGATTCCCAAAATGCACTTTCTTTTTTTTCTCTTGAGACAGGGACTCGTGGAGCCCAGGCTACCTTTGAACTCCCTATGTAACCAAGGGTGACACTGAATATCTGGTACGCCTGCCTCCACCTCCCAAGGGCTAAGAAGACACATATGGATCACCATGCCGTTTATGCAATGCTGGGATCAAACCCAGGCCTCCTGCACACCAGGCAAGGACTCTGCCAACTGAGCTACCCACTCTCAATGTATATTCTTTATAAAACTAACCAGCCCAAAGCATAGGGCAGGGCTATACTCCCTTGACTGAGAGACTCTGAAGTTCAGAGTTCTCATCACTCACCTCTCACCCACAGCAGATTCCTAAGGTAGGATCACATCAGAGGGCACCCACGACACCAGTGGCTCTCCATAGCGTGGGCATCGATAGAATTAAAACAAGCCCTCAGGGTAGGGTGACTCCTCCCTGACAATGTCTGTCCCTGAGGGAACCGTACTTGGGCCTCCTGAGGTTCTGTAACAGAGCAAGCCTTCTCCCTCTTTTATCTGTCAAGGCTACAGAAAGAACCATTGGCTGGCAGCCAGAGTAGTAGCCAGAACTTTGACTGACAGGGGTCTGGTTGGTAGCCAATATCCATTCCTGATCAGGAGCCCCAAATGTAGTAATAGTGTGCCCTGCTGAGTACTGACGCATGACACCATCCGCTGAGTCCACAGGCTGAGCCCTTTCCCTGGGACGATCTCAGCAGACACTAAGGTGGGCACTCCTGGGAGGCCTGGGCTCTCTGATGATGGGCTCCTGTGACTCCTTTGCTCCCTCACTTTCTCAGAATCCCGCTTCCTTTGCGCTCTCACATGTGTCAGGCCTAGCAGCCCTTCCCAGCGCTCATCTACCTCCCCACTCCCCGACCCCTTTGAAGTTTCTCTCTTGCATGGTTCTAGAAACCAGCCCAGGGCTTGCTCCCCGCAGTCTAGGCAAGCACCTCCTTCACCACATGGGCGCACGGATCTCTCACACTTGGCATTTGCTTCTCGGCCAGCCTGGACTAGCACAGCGGAGGTAGTGGAAAAACAAGCTGCTCTGCTCCTGGGTCGCCTCCTCCCTGCCCTGGAATCCAGCTCAGGTCTGATCTGGGAAGGCCTGCAGCAGTGCTAGGCTTGGTTCCTTTAAGTTCCACAAGGACAGGGGCTGGGAGTCCCCGGGTTGGTGCTGGCTCCCAGATCCAGGTCCTATCATTGTCCAGTTTACGCACCTAGGAATGCACACTGCTTTCTCCATATTTAGCTATTTTTTTTTAAGCCCAGGTCCTCATATAGCCTTACACTTCCTCTATAGCTGAGGATGATCCTGAGATTTAGTTTTTGCATTATTTATTTATTTTTTGTGTAAGTGTAAGGGCACACGGATGCCACGGCTCGTGTGTGAAAGTCAGGGAACAACTTGTGGGAGTCAACTCTCTCCTACCATGTAGGTCCCAGGCCTAACACTCAGTCCACCAAGCTTGATGGCAAAGCAACTTTCCTGGTTAACCTCGCTCACCAGCTCCCGACCCTGAACTTCTTCCTCTCCAGTGCTAGGGTACCACTGGGTAGCATTACCACACCTGGTTTTATGCGGTGCTGGAATTCCAACCCAAGGCTTCGCGTCTGCTAGGAAAGCACTCTGTTAGCTGAGCGACAGCCCTGGCCCTGTGTAGAATTATTTTCTGCGTCTGTTGACTTGTTTGTTTTCTGTCTATCCATTAGGCTTCGGCTCCCTGGGGAAGAGTCCTTGTCAGTCTTGTCACCTCTCAGGGCTCAGTGGGGTTCCTGGCCCAGGGGAAGTGCTGACCTCATGGCATGCTTAAATGAACGAATTAATGAAGAGACTAACTGTGAGCAGCCAGCCGGCCTTTCTTCTAGGGGGCCCTAGTGTTCTTGTAGAAAATGAGGGGGTGGACCAGAGCAGACGGTTCTGGCATAATAAGTACCAGCCGCTAATAATCACTTCAGAAAATGTTTAGTCTCATTAATCATCCAGTCAAAACAACAATTGGATATTACCTTCTCTCTATCAAAACACGGACGAGCTTTTCAAATGCTGGCAAAGGTCTCCAAACAATCTGAGGTTATGTATCAGGAGACCTAAATATATGCAGAAGCCTCGGCCTTGTAATTCCATTTCTAAGAATCTATCCTAAGGAAACAATCATGGTTGCGGAGGAAGATTTATGCACAGAGATGTTCCCTGAAGCATTATTTATAACTGCAGAAAATGGAAGCAATTTGAATAATAATAAATAATATGTGACCAGGCTATGGAAGCACCAGGCACCTCACACACATACTTCTTATCTTCCACAAACCTGTGAGGTAGGAATGGGAGCCTCCATGTTGCAGGTGGTACCCAGAGGTTCGGGACCTGCCCAAGGTCACGCAGACAAGTGGGTGAATGATGGAGCTGGGATTTGAACCAAGGTCTGGCCATGTTTATCCTGTGCTTTATGTCTCCTCTGACAAGAAGGTGCTAGTTAAGTGCGTTAAGACTGTTCGTAAGAAGGAATGTTAGATGCCAGGCGTTGTGGCACACACCTTTATTCCCAGCACTTGGGAGGCAAAGACAGGCAGACCTCTGTGGGTTCAAGCCCAGCCCAGTCTACATAGTGAGTTCCAGGCCAACCAGGGCTACACACACACACACACACACACACACACACACACACACCCCTCTCCAAAAGAACAAACAAATAAACAAAACAAAGGAGGAGGAGTGTTGGAGTGTTATCTAGGTTTTCATTGTTTCTCCAAATAGCTAATGGTTTAAGATTAAACAAAATATGCAAATTATATACAAAGTCATAATTTTAGGCCTAAGGATATAATTCAGTGCCTGCCAAGTATATCTGAGGCTTTAGGTTCAATTCAGTACCACTGCCCCCTACCACACACACAAAAACAAAGCAAACAACCCCAAAACAAAACTCCACAACAGGGGCTGGAGAGATGGCTTAGTGATTAAGAGAACTGGCTTCACTTCCAGAGGAGCCGGATTCAAGTCCCAGCATCCAAATGTCTGTAATTCCAGTTCCAGGGAATCCGACACCTTCACACAGACACATACATGCAGACAAAACACCAATGCACATAAAGTAAATAAATAGATCTTAAAATGAAACCTATAACAAACAAAACATGAGCCACAGAAATATATCCTCAAGCTAAAACAAAACAAGTCCCCCCATACTAAAGTCATGATCTGAAATATGAAAACCACAGTTGTACTGGGATCTGAACTCAGATCCTCTACAAGGGCAGTATTTGCTTTAACTGCTGAGCCGTCTCTCAAACCCCATTTCTTTCCTCCTCACACCCCATAGTCTTTTTCTTTTCTTCTTCTTTTTTAACTTGGACACAGGATTCATGTAGCCAAGGCTAGCCTTTAACTTGCTATGAAGCTGAAATTGGTCTTTTATTCCTCCTGCCTCCACCTCTGAAGGACAGAGATTCCAGGTGGTACACCTAGTTTATTGGGTGCTAGGGATGGAGTCCCGGGCTTGGTGTGCACTGGGCGTGGCGGCTTGAATGAGAATGGTCCCCATAGGTTCATACACCTGAATGCACGGTCCCCAGTTGTAGAACTGTTCTGAAAGGATTAGGAGGTGTGGTCTTGTTGGAGAAGGTGTGCCACTGAGAGTGGGCTGTGAGCTTTCAAAAGCTCATGCCAGGCCCACACTTGCTCTCTCTCTACCTGCTGCCTGTGAGTCGGGATGTAAGCTCTCACAGCCACTGTTCCAGCACCATGCCTGCCTGCCTGCCTGCCTGCCACCATGATGATCATGAACTGACCCTCTGAAACTGTAAGCAAACTCCATTAAATGCCTTCTGTTACAGTTGCCTTGGTCCTGGGGTCTCTTTACAGCAACAGGGCAGTAACGAAGACTCCAGGCAAACACTCCACCAGCTCCACTACATCCCCAGCCCTACAGTTCTATTTCTAGAACCAGGACATTTGCTTAATTGGATGATCTGTTGTAATTCTCTAAAAGTCCCTCTGAGAAGATGCTGAGGAGTGACAGCGGACGATTTGGCTTTTTATTTTTATTTTTTTTTTTTTTTTATTTTTGAGACTCTGAAGCCCAGACTTTGGACTCATGACAATCTTCTGCCTGCATGTCCCCCTGCCAAGGCCTCCCTACCCCTGGGTCACATGGCTGTTCAGGCAGTGCTAGGGGAGGCTTGGACCCAAGTCCATATCACTGATGCTTAGGCTGCCTCCTCTGTCAGGTTTCCCTGATTTTCTTCCTTTTCCCCAGACACAGATTAATCACCAGCTAACAGGAGCCGAAAACCACACAATGCGTGCAGCAGCTTCACAGAGTGGGCTTTTCTGCCGTTCTTTTGCTCTGATGAGATTTCTATCTCTGTGGCATCTGCTGGCTAAATCAAATCTTTCAAAGGTAATCTGCCATCATGGCTGCTGGAATTCATCTATGACAATCCAATTTTGGAGAGAACATTTAAGAGGCCTGACACCCAGACACTGTCCTCAAGGTGAATGCTCTATGGAGCAAGGTGGTCTCTTTTGTGTTTTCACAGAGCCCATAGAGGAAACAAAGCTCCCCAGCCCTGCTCCTTCCCAGGGCAACCCAAAAGCTCTCTGTGAAAGCTAGCCAGAGGGAAGGGGCAGGGAGAAGCTGTATATGGCTGGGGTTAGAGTCCTGTCTCTTCTCAGAAGGATTCTGGAGACTGGAAGCCACCATTTATTCCCAGTTCTGCACAAGTTCAGGAAGAAATGAGGCCTTTGGTGACTTCACCTCTGTTTTACTTCTAAAGACCTCAAGAGAAGTTGTCCCTGTGATGACCCAGAGTGATATGAGACTGGAGACGGACACAGAGAGGAGAGGGGGTATACAACAGGGTTATTTTCTTAGGCAGGTAGTAAAGAACCAGCCTGCCTCCATCTTAGACTTAAAAGGCCATCTCATAGTAAAGATGAACTAGGTTCATTCCTGTTATGATTAAACCTGTTTTCCAAGGACTGGGCTATGCGCCCCCTGTCACCTGAACTACAAGTGGTCTGTACTGCACATTCGAGGAATGGCAATCATGTCTTTGTTTCAAAAGGTGATTTATAACCATCCTGCAACCCTAGCTTTGTTTTTAAAGTTTATATGACCCCCCTATGGCAATCTTGTTCTGCCCACCCTGTAACCATGCCAGGAAGTTGTTAAGAATAATTGCTACGCTTATATTCAGCTCCTGTAACTCTGTCTATTTTGCCTGAGAAATCCTTCATTTGGAAACTCCTTACCCCTGAGCTATAAAAGCCTTGTCTTCCTCACAGCCAATGCTGACCTCTTGAAGCCTGCCTTAGGGGGAGGCAGCCCATATACCCAAATAAAAAAAAAGCTTGCTTTAATCAATTGCTTGCTTTAATTAATTTCCCCATGATGATTTGGGTTGGTGGCCTTTTTCCTCTCATCTTTGGGATTAACAGTAGATCTAAAGCTAGGACCGAGGGGACCAACCCCCACCCACTACCTGCAACTTAATTGCCTTAAGATTGGAATTGTAGGTCCTTTCCATCTGTTCCCCCTCCTTCCCTTCCTCCCTTTCTCCCCTTCTCTCTCTCCCTTCCTTCCTCCTTCCCTTCCTTGCTTCCTTCCACCCTTCCTATTTTTCTTTTTTTAAAATAAGATCTCATAGGGCCCATTCCGGCCTCTAAGTAGCCAAGGATGACCTTGAACTTCTGATCCTCTTGCCTTTGTCTCCTATGTGCTGGAATACAGGTGTGTGCCACCATGCCCAGTTTATATTGTACTGGAGATGGATGCATGCCAGGCAAAGGCTCTAACAACTGAGGCACACCCCTAGTTGCAGGTCTTTGCTTTCTTTAGATCCCAAGAGACGGCTCTATCTATAGTGAACCAAAGCTTCATGGGAGGAAGAAGGCTGAGCTGTGTCCACACAAAGAGAGAGACCTGTCCTTGGGTGCCTTAGGACAAAACCAGGAGCAGCAAGGATTCAGTCAAACCAGAGGTTCTCATCGCAAAGTCTTGCTTCCCCTATCTGACCTGGACATTTGGCACTGACTGGAAGCGTCTTTGGGAGTCAGAACTTGGGGAAAGGTGAATATTTAAGAAGCAAGTGAGCAGAGCTACCTAGAAGGATGCACTGTGTAAAATGAATTCAGTGATTCCTGTCACTGAAGACTGAGGCAGTGGTGACAGAGGTGGACAAGGCACGGTGCTGGTGTCCTTGGGGGTCCAGGCTCTCCCCACGGAGGTAGTGCTTTGAAGTCGAAGCAGCCTGCCTGGAGCTGAGCCGGCAGGCCCCTCCCAAGGACCCGTGCCTAAGGAGGGCTCTTGCCTCCCGGTTCCTTGAGACATGACACACGTTAAAGACAGCAAAGCAAACAATCATTAATATTGGATGGGCTGAGATTAGCGACAGAGAAGAGGGAGTCCTTCCAGATTAATAATACATGGAGGACTCCTTCAGAAGGAAGATTAACTATGCAGGGCACGGTCGCCTGGGCGTGAGAGGAAAACAATGGCTTTTTAATTTGGGGCTTGAGTGGATCTCTGTGGTGGGGACTCTTCCTGAATGGAAACCTCATCAGCCTTCTCGGTTTCCCAGCAGGGATGGGGTGTGCCAGCGCTGTCTTCCACCTACGAGCTGTGTTCTCATCTCCACACTTAGGACTCTTAGCCTTCTCACCCTCTCCTTCAGTCCGGGCCAAAGGCCACCTCTTCCAGGACGCCTTTCCTGACCAGCATGGCGGCTTCTTGTGATCTTTTATGCACATATCCAAGGTCACAGTGACTTGGACACCTGTTGGACCCAGCAGAGCCAGGGGCATGCATTTCTACCTAATATTTGTCAACCTCTGATGTTGGGTGTGATGTATTCTTCATGGTATGCCATGGGACACAAAGCAGGGCTATGAGACACTCCTGGATGTGCCTGGTATTGGAGGAATATTCTAGAAAGTGTCTGATATCAGTGCATTCTCAGAATCTAAGGTCCTGGGAGCACCCGGGCTTCCCTTTTGTGGCCTAGCCTGCCCTGTGGGGGCACTCCATGTTTGTTGAATGAATATCAAGGCACAGAAACGTTCAAGTCATGCACAGACCTGCTGGCTTGGCTCTAGGCTCTCTCGGTATAGTTCTCTGAGAGGCCACCAAGGAATCACATTCATCTAAACTGATACGTGTGCGATGCCCTGCTTGCTGTGACGGGAAGTTCCAGGGTGACATGTGAGAAACCAGACACTGGAGGTAAAGAGGGGCCTCAGAGCAGAGGCCTTCTCTGCCTGGCCATCTGCAGAACACCCACTGTCTAGGCCAACCTGTCTGCCCCTTACTGTCCCGATAGCAGGCAGTCTGATAGAGGGTAGTGAGAGGCATCTCAGGGGCTGACAGTCCCACTTTCTACCGAAGGCTGGGCAGCAGGAGCAGCAAACAGGAAGGGGTAGGCCAGGAGGCTGGGACCATTTGCTCTTCTGCTTCCTAGGCTCAGTCCTCTCAGAAAGTAGGAGAGACTAGCTACTGTCCATAGACTTCCAAGCCATTCTGGGCATAGAGGCCAACCTGTCCTTCCTGTTTTCCCTCCTGGCCGGGGCTTCTCTGGGTCCCGGGAGGGGCTTTTTATGGTTAGAGGCTCAGGGTGAAGAAGAGGACTCTCCAAGATAGCTCATCAGATACCGTGCCATGAGCCCTATCACCCCAACCCACCTTGGCCCCCAGAACCATCCAATTCTAGTCCCCCGTTTCTGTGAGTTATTCCTATGTGAGGCTTGAGACTGACTCTTTGTAAAGCCCATGCAGCTGACCGTGGAGAACAGGAGGCAGATGACCTAAGGTCCGTCCTGACTCTAGCTGCTGACTGGCCACTCTGGAGGTGGAGCCACAGCCCAGGAAGCCTTTCTCCATCCTGGGGCCCATCCAACCCCTGCCCCAGGCTTACCTGTCCACAGATCATACCTGATAGTGTTCTCAGTGTCACAGGGACAGGGCAAGGTGCAGCCTGGGCCATGCAGGCCCTCGGGGCATAGCCGCTCCTGGCAGCTAGGGCCCTTGTAGCCAGGCTCACACTCACAGGCACCTGTGGTCGGTGAACATTGACCTCCATTGTGGCAGTCACAGCGCTGAGAGCACCGGAAACCAAAAGTTCCAAAGGGACATTCCTCTTGGCACCTGTGGGAGAGCAGAGCAGGATGAAGCTGTGGGCCAAAGGCCTCGCTGGCCTTCTCAATGCATTTGTACAGACCCCTCCTCACTTGAAATGCCTGGTGTGTTCCTTCCCTTCCAGTCTCTCCGCCCCCCCCCCCGTTTCCATGGAAACTTCACCCCCCCCCCGTCTCCTTAGCAGCCAGGATGAGCGCATTATCAGTGTCATGATGCAAAACTTTGTTTCTTTTTCATTGGAAACACTGTGATGAGGCTGGGGGTGGTGGTGCATGCCTTGTTGAAAAGTTTCTGCACCCCGATAAGCCTCTCCGCAGATGTGATAATCCAAATCAGATCAGATCAAACTGAATTAGAAAAAACCCAGGTTTAACAGATACCACGCTCCCAGATGGCTTTCCAGCCCCCCAGAGAGGAGACAGGAAAGCTGGGGGAGGCAGTTTAAATTCCCTGTGGGAGTGGTCTTGAGCATCTCTGGGAGAGGGGTCATCATTTGATGGGCTTTCTGAGATGCAGCAGGGTTTGGAGAGAGAGATGGGAAAGGCGGCTTGGGATGGAGCTTCTACCTGAGCATCCCAGATTCTTTGGATATATGGATGCCAAGGCTGGGGTGAAGCTCCCACCTAAACATTCAAGACTCATATATGGATGCCAGGGGTTGGGGTGAAGCTTCCACCTGAACACTTGGGAGATTGAAGTCTGGCTTTGAATTCACAGCAATCCTCCTGTCTCAAGCTCCCGAGTGCTGGGATTATTAGTATGTGCTCTCCCGAGTCTCACGCAGAAGCCTCTCTCCCAGTCCTGTGTGGTTCCTCCGGCCAAGGTGTAATTTCCCTTAGGTACAAGTGTCTTCCTCCTTCATCAAGTTACATACTCCCAAAGACAGGCTATTTGCTCTTCCTGGGATCTGAGGACGCAAGGCAGGGGCTAGCTCTCTCTCTTATCAGCCAGTGAGCCCCCAAGGTGGAGGAGGGGTGCCTTTGGTACTATGTGAGCTCATGCAGGTAGGTGCTTGGAGGTCCTGCATCTGGGAATGCTCCAGCCTTTAGGCCAGGAGATATCGGTCTCTTGTGTGGCCCTGCTGGCTTCCTGGCTTCTTGAATGTGCTTTAACAGCTTTAACAATTCTTGCTATCCTTACTGCAGTCCAGGGTTTATTTCCCAGGTGACATAAGCTGATTGTCACAGCAACTAGGCTTTGTGAAAATAAGGGGTTACCCTGCAGGCAGCCTGTGCACGAGAGGGAAATAGCCTCTGGGGTTGGGGATTATCTATTTCTTAACTCTGATACAGATAATGAAGAACTGACTTAAACTTCAGACAGAACACTTTCTTATCATAAAATGAATTGGTAAGCCTCATCAGGTTGATTGAAGATTAAATAAGATAATACTAGGGGCTAGAGAGATGGCTTAGCAGTCAAGAACTCTAGTTTGAATTGCAGGACTTGAGTTCTGTTCCCAGCACCTGCATTGGGCAGCTTACAACCATCTGTAATTCCAGGTCCAGGGAACCTGACGCCCTCCTTTAGTCTCCCCTGGCACCACACTCACACAACCCACTCCCATATACACAATTCATTCTTTAAAGTGTGTACAACTAGGCCGAATGGCAGTGGTGCCCGCCTTTAATCCCAGCACTTGGGAGGCAGAGGTAGGTGGATCACTATGAGTTCAGAGCTAGCCTGGTCTACAAGAGCTAGTTCCAGGACAGGCACCAAAGCTACAGAGAAACCTTGTCTTGAAAAATACAAAAACAAACAAAAATGTGCATAATTGCCAGGTGGTGGTGGCACATGCCTGCAATCCCAGCACTCAGGAGGCAGAGGCAGGAGAATCTCTGTAAGTTCGAGGCCAGCCTGGTCTACAGAGCAAGTTCTAGGACAGACTACAAAGCTACACAGAGAAACCCTGTCTCAACAACAACATGTAGAATTATCCAGAAAGGCAGCCAGGAGGCCATTATCTGTTGTTACTTTTAAAAAGATTTCTTAACTGCTGATCCATCTCTCCAGTTCTTATTAAAAGTTTTTACAGCCCTTAAAACACAGAAGATCTTTAGCCAGGCAGTGGTGGCGCACGCCTTTAATCCCAGCACTCGGGAGGCAGAGACAGGCAGATCTCTGTGAGTTTGAGGCCAGCCTGGAGTTTCAGGACAGGCACTAAAGATACACATAGAAACCCTGACTCAAAAAAAAAACAAAAACAAAAAACCAAAACCCAAAACAAAACAAAAAAACCACAGCAGATTTGACCTTCTTGCCTTAGATTCAGGCATGAAAAGGCTCAAATAAAAGAATTCTGACATATAAGGGAAGCATGGCGTAAAATGAGGACAAATGGCCACACCGTAGTAGACGTGGGCAGACAGCATCGTGTAAGAGGGATTGAGAGCAGCCAGAATACGGGGGGCTAGCCTAGGCAGCTAGAGACCAGGTGCCCTTTTTTCTATCTTTGCTGTTCTGTGCCCAGAGTGACAAAGGAGCAGGAGAGTGATTGAGAAAGAGCTTAGAGTTCTCCTCAAGGGAGAGGCTACTGCTGTCTCCTCTAAGAGCCATGGTGTGAGCAGAGGAACCTGGCTGAAGAGAGGCAGTGAGAAAGATGCAGGCTGCCCTGGGCAGGAACAAAGGGAGAGGAAGGGAAGGGGGCAGGCAGGAGAAAGAAAGGAGGAGCTGAGAAGGGAGGGGAGGGCAAGGAGCAAGAAAGACCCCACTATCTAAACTGCCAACTCCCACTCAGCCTCCAGATCCAGATTTCTCCACACAGACCCCTGAGCTCTGCAGGCCTCAGGAATCTCTGAGACACCTGATCCCTTGCATCAGAATATTCCTGTCCATATGTCTGAAGAGAGTGTCCTACCTGGCTGTATTCCAGGGGAGAGGGCACCACATCCATATGCCCAAAACAAAAGATCTAGGAATGAAATATTGACAAGCTAATCTATTCCCATCATCCGCCTCTTTTTACTTTTCTTCCCATCCACAATTTAAACAACTTATTTATTTAGAGATCAAGCAAAGACTGCTAATGAATTTTACACAAAGCACACCAATAACCAGCCCGTGGAACAGGAGGGTAATCACAGCAGGGATTAGCTCTCTACTTAAACACCCTTCCTTCCCAGTGTATCAATCTAATGTGTCCGATATTGCCATTAACAACCAGATACATTGCTCAATTAAATTACAAGTTACGTTTCGTGTTTAATTTGAGCTGGATCCTGCCTATCTGGGGAGACCCGCATTATTATACCCGCTTGGTTTTAATATGCTCATGATAATTTGGGGTGGGCTAATGCAGCTGTCACCTACAAAATTAATGGAGGCAATTTTACAAAATATTAAACACCAGGCAGCCTGTTGAGGCGGGAAAGCCAAATGCTCATGGCGTTCTGCATGAACTCTCCTGAGGCGGGTTGGGAAGCAAGCTGGAAGGCCCGTGGTTTTGAAATTTTTTTCTCTGCTCTGGGATCTGGGGTGAGACTCCAAGAAGAGACACTTGGGATTACTTCTGCCCTTGGGGAACCCTGAGAGGCAAATGAGGTGGTTCTACTGGTGCCTGGTAGCTTGCTAGAACCCTGACACCAGTTTTCAGCGCATGAATGAGGCTGGAACAAAGGGGTCCTTTCTGTTCCCAGCATTTCCTTACTTTGGGGCTGAAGATGTGACGAAAAGGTAGGCCTAGCCCTTTGATTCCCAGAGCTACAACCTGTGCTCTGTGGAGACAAATGCTGGCACAAGGCTTAAGGATTTTAGGGTGTAAGCAATAAGTCCAGTGCTAGCAGATAGGCTCTTTCTAGATATCTCTAAAGACTCGGAAAGCTCCAGGGAGAGCAGGGGGGATGCCGATTTTGTTAGTCAGATCTAAAAGGTGCTGGAGCTATATGGAAGTCCATTGGTTGAGTGCCTACCTACTATGCGGGAAGCTGTGGCTTTGATCCCTAGCACCACACTAATGGGCATGGTGACACACATCTGTACCTCAGCACTCAGGAGACGGAGGCAGGAGGTTTAGAAATTCAGATAATACTTGGCTATACTGTGAAACTGAGGCCAGCCTGGGCTATGAGAGATATTATCAACACACACACACACACACACACACACACACACACACACACACACACACACACACCAGAAAGGACTCACTGGGTGACTTAGCCATGATCCCCGCTCATGTCACCCAGACAAAGACCAGGAAACCAATTTCAGTACTGTATTTGCAAGCCCTGGGTCATAGCCTTTCAGAGACTGAAGTCACCGTTAGACTTACTTTTCTTACACATTTAAACGTAGTAGAACTTTGGGGGTGGGGAGGACTCTCCACATGACAATTCTCATAACAAAGCCTCAGGACTCGCTACATCATTTGCAAAGCAGCAAAGCACCTGTGATCTTTACAATAAGAATGAATTCTATTGGCTGGTAAACACAGTGATAGCTGGGGCCTAAAGAAGGCAAGGACCTGTGATGCACACAAGGATGGGTGCTCTTGGTGGAGGGCACAAAGCACACGGGGCCTCTTTGGAAGGGATGTGTTCTTTTCACTGAGAGAGGAAGCTCAGGATATTGGGAGATCCAGGTGGAGGCTGGCTCCTCATAGAAGAGCAAAGGGTCACCAGGCGGTTTGACCATGTCACGCCAGCTTTCCAGGTGATCAGGCAAATTCATTTCCTTCACCGGGTGGTGCGGCTGCCATGGCGCGGAATGTGTTGTACCCCCTCTACCAGCTGGGTGGCCCCCAGCTCCATGTATTCCGAACCAACTTCTTTATCCAGCTGGTGCGGCCTGGTACTGCCCAGCCTGAAGATACTGTGCAGTTCCGGATCCCCATGGAGATGACCAGGGTGGACCTCCGGAATTACCTTGAGCAAATTTACAATGTTCCTGTGGCTGCTGTGCGCACGCGGGTGCAGCATGGCTCCAACAGGAGGAGGGAGCACAAGAACGTAAGAATCAAGAAGCCGGACTACAAAGTGGCCTATGTGCAGCTGGCCCATGGGCAGACCTTCACCTTCCCAGATATTCTTCCAGAGAAAGAGCCCAGTCCTGCAGACCCTCTGGAAGAGGAGCCTCAGCAGCAGAGGCAGAGCAGCGACCCCTGGTGTCCTGGTATCCCTTCTTGGTTTGGCCTATGACCTGTGATAACAGGGACTGGATCACAGACCTAGTAAGCACAGTAGTTCTGACAAACCCAAATAAAAATCCTTTGTGGAGAAAGAAAAAAAAAATTCATTTCCTTCAGTTGAAGGAGACAGGCCTGTGTGACCATCAGTGCTGGTTCGCCAACGCTTACCCGAAGAATGTGTTTTCTACATGCTCTCCTCTCACTTTGTCTAGAAAGAATAACCACATTCAGGGACCGGAGATGAGACTTGGATCCACCCACACAGAGTCAGGTGAAAGGCAGGGACTCCGCTGGCTGGCTGGCTGGGTGGTGGAGGAAGGGGACCTGGCCAGGGGTCTGTGGTTACATGTGGTCCTCCACCTCCAGTTCGTCACTTGCTGCACAGCTCTTGTTTTTCCCTCTTCACGGCCCAGGCCCCATCGCTCTCTTCCAGCTGGTGCAGTTGTACCCAGAAGGCAATTCCTCGGTTATGTGTTCTGTTGCCTGTCCCCTCCGCCAGGTTGGCATCATTCCAGGCTATCACTGTCTCTCTGGACCCCTGCTCTGCCTGCTCTCAGGCATTCATACAGCACAAACTGATGTCATTATCTTTCAGAGATAACTCAATTTTGGAATAAAAATCTACTTCTATAATAACTTCAAAATGTAGGCACGGCCTTTTGTTCTCTTAGCTCTTTTGGCGTCTTGGTAGCACTGCTTCCTTCTGTTAGTGTAGACAGGGGAAATGGAGCAGGGGGCTCACTCGTCTCCTTCCCCAGTGCAAGTTTAAGGCTGTCAGACTCGGGGAGGGGTGGCACACACAGGGTGAGAAAGGGTGAGCTGATGGGTTTCCCTGGTAGGACTCAGAATGTCTTCTGAGGAAAGAACCCTCAGGCTGGCCAAAGGTGTGATGGCTGCTATTCTCTGCAAGGTTGCTGAGGGTAGGAAGAGCTGAACATCAAAGGCAAGAGTTAATGCCATCCTTACCTGTCCCCCATGTATCCAGCTGTACAGTGGCATTGTCCAGTCACATGATCACACTGGCCTCCATGGTGGCAAGGACAATCCTGACTACAGTTCTGGCCAAACGTCCCTGGTGGGCAGGGCTGGGCACACACTGCTCCCTGCAATAGAATTGAAGACAGGCTTGGTAGGGCTCCGGAGATATCATGTTGAGGTTATAATCTCCAAGGTCACCCCAACTTCCCAGTGTAATCAGGAGAACTGGCATTTATGCTACAGTTAGGACCACTGAGGTCAGTTTTCTCCCAATTATTCAGCGTAGTTAGTGAAAGCTGTTGTATATCAGGTGCTGGGTCAGATACCTGGGACGCAGAAAGCATGTGTGATTAATACCTGTCCTCACAGGGTCCTGGAGAGATCAGCAAGGAAGCAAAGTAGAGTACATAATGCTAGTCCTCTCATACGTACTAGCAGAGAGAGAGAGGGAGGGAGGGAGGGAGGGGAAGTGAGGGAGGGAGGGAGAGAGAGGGAGAGAGAGAGAGGGAGAGAGAGAGAGGGAGAGAGAGAGGGAGAGAGAGAGAGGGAGAGAGAGAGCGCCCCCCCGCCCCCCACCCCCGCTCCTGATTAAACATCCAGCTGCGGAGACCTACTCACCTCTGTGACTTTGCTAAAGCCAGCTATTATGAGAGCAGAGGACCCAAATGGAGGTGGGGAGGGAGGGGAACTGGGGTGTGAAGAAGGGGGAGGAGACAGGAGGAGTGAAGGACTGGAAGGAGGGGAAATGAAAGGCTATATGATTCCCATCAGGGTATAAGCATTGCAAATTTTATTTAAAAATATTTTTAAAAAACAATTTTTATGTCTGTGTATGAATGTATATATATGCCTTGGGCATGTGGATGTCCAAGGAGTCCAGAAGACGACTTTGGATCCCCTGGAGCTGGAGTTACAGGTGGCTGTGAGCTCTCTGACATGGGTTCAGAGAGCTGAACTTGGGTCCTCTGGAAGAGCAGCAAGTGCTCTTAACCATGAACCATTTCTCCAGACACCAAAATTTTAAGTTTCTTCTTTTAAATTTTTTTTATTTTCTATTTTATTCACATTTATGTTTTACCTCCATGCATATCTGTATGAGGGCATTGGATATTCTGGAACTGGAGTTACAGGCAGTTGTGAGCTGTCATGTGGGTGCTGGAAATTGAACCCAGGTCCCCTGGAAGAGCATCCAGTGCTCTTAACCAATGAGCCATCTCTCCAGCCCAATGTTTTATATTTCTAAATGTAAACTTAATCAAAGTTTTTAAGAAGTCATATACAAAACCAGGAATCAAGTTATTAGATCTCTTATCTAGAAATTAGATGACCATGGAGTAATTCCTTAACATTTTGGAGAGAAAATAATTTTCAATATAGAACCAATTGCCAAGAAGCAGGAGGGTTATGCCTCAGAGGAAAAGCCAGGATCTTTAGCACGTCAAGAAAGCCACTAGTTAAAAGACAAAATCCTTTGCCTAGAATATTATATCTCTCAAAACAAATACTTGAGCAGGGGTTTTGATAGGACAGTTTTAGATTTAAACAAAAAAGCAGTAACATCCATGGTACTTTAGGTAACTAACTGGGAAAAGCCCACCCTCATCAGAAAAACTTTCCGGGGCTGGAGATACAGGTCAGTTAGTAGAGTGCTTGCCCAGCATGCGAGAAGCATCAGTTCTCAGCATCATGTAGACTCAGTGTGGGTGCACACCTGTAGGTGGAGGCAGGAATATTAGAAGTTCAAGGTCATCCTCAACTATGTATCTAGTTTGAAAGTGTGACTGATATATCAGATCCTGTTAAACCAAGAAAGAAAGAAAGAAAGAAAGAAAGAAAGAGAGAGAGAGAGAGAGAGAGAGAGAGAGAGAGAGAGAGAGAGAAAGAGAAGAAATGTAGAAAAAGAAGGAAGATAATTATTCAAGAAAATTTTTTGAAAAAATGGTTTCTGAGAACTAGGGACCTATCAAAAAGAGAAACAAAAGGAACCCAAGAGAGTAGTGAATATGCCAAACAAAGAGCTCACAACAGAAGCACAAGGTATTCTGGGTGCCACCTCAAAACACAAAGGCAAAAACAACCAGAGAGGGAGGGAAGGAGAAAGGGAGGGAGGGAGGGAAGGAGGAACAGAGGGAGGGAGGAAGGGAGGGAGGAAGGGAGGGAGGAACTTCTGAGGTGTCTGACCTTATTGAGAGGAATTTCAGACTCTGGCTGAGCTGTTGGATAAATTAGTAGCCACACACAGCCATGCTAACATAGACACACACAAACATGCTATCCTAAGCATCATGAACTTCGCTGTCCTCTCTCCGTCTTTCTTTAGGGAGCCGGCCTGTACTCTGGGATCTCCCCTCTTTCTCTGGCCCTCCTCCCTACTAGGTGGTGGCTTGTCTCCCATGTGTCTGACTTCCATGCCAACTCAAACAGCAGGAGGCTAGAATTAAATAAATTAAAATAAAATTTAAGTTTACTTATTTATACATGTACGTGTGAGTATGCTATGGCATGCATGTTGGGGGTCATAGGACGGCTTGCTTGAGTCAGTCTCTTTCTTGCGTGTGGGTTCCAGGGGTTGAACTTGGGTTGTCAGCCTTAAGGACAACAGCCTATGCCACTGAGCCATCTCACCACCTTGAATCCTGTCTGTGGGCTGAAGTTATTAGTCAAGAAGTAGCAGTAAGGCATGTTAGGGAGAAAACAGAAGGAGACACCCAAACAGACCTGGACTAGGACTGGACTCGGACTGCAAGCATTATGCACTGAGGACTGTTTTCTCTCTGCCCCCACCCTCCAGTCTTAGTCTTGTGGTATACGTCTGTAAAACAGTTTGTATAAACTTCAAGTCTTCATCAGACGACTGAGCCTAGTCTCGTCTCCTGCCACCGTTTCACCCTCATGCCAGAGATAATCATTTCTCTCATGGAGAATGAAGATGATCTTCCAATTAATTAATCAATTTGTTCAACACACAGTTATTAAGCACCAATAATCACCGGCCCCCAAGAAGCTAGTTCAGTCAGGAAAAGCCTGCCAGACCGGAGCCATCTTTCTGCGTCGTGTTATTGAGTTGTAATGAATTAAGTGGGAGGCTTTCAGCTCAGATTCCCCTGCTGCAGGCACAGCAGAGCCTAGAGAAGCGAGGACTGAGAGGTGAGTGTGCAAAAGTGGGGCAAGAGGAGTCTGGGGGTGACAGGCACCTGTCTCCCCATGAGCTTAGGGATTCATGGGTGACAAGAGAATTCTCTGGCTTCTGTGCAATTCTGTCCTTACTGTCTGGGGATATCTGAAAAACATTTCAAGCTAACTCAGGCAGGAAATGCTTATGCCTACCAGTCTCCTCACCCTTCAATAGGTGGAGCCCTCGTTCATGTACACCACACAGACCAGACAAAGAGGGGGGGGGGGGGGGAGGAAGGGGGAGAGAGGGAGAGAGAGGGAGAGAGGGAGAGAGAGACAGAGAGACAGGTGACCCCTGGTCTCTAGGAAGTTGTAAAGATAAGCAGTGAGATTAGGGGTACAAAGGAAGCCCGCTGACACCGTGCCTGATTGAGCGACACTTAATGAATGTCAGCTGAACAAAGTTGACATTGACGGGGTGGTACATGACTACATAAATGATCAACTACTGCTGGTTGGAAGAATGACCTCTGGAGGAAGCTGGCAAGCACGGGGGTTCCTCTCCTGCTGTGAGTTTATCTCCTGGACTCTGGCTGCAATCCTCACTTCCAGTGCGCCAGGATATGACTGTATGCGGACACGCGGCCTTTGTAGAGGTGAAGTTAAAAACTTGTGTAGGTGGGCCCTCATCCGACCTAACTCGGGGATGAAGACAGATATAGCGGGTTGGAGGGTTAGCTCAATCAGTAACATGCTCGCTATGCAAACATGAGGATTTAGCTTTGATCCCAGAAGCCATGAAAAAAAGACAGACATGATGATGTGTGCTGGCTAGTTTTATGTCAACTTGACAGAAACTAGGATCATTTGGGAAAGGGACTCTCAATTGAGAAAATGCCTCCGTAAGATTGGCAAGCCTGCAGTGCATTTTTTCTTTCTTTTAAAAAATGTGTATGTGTACATGCATATGCATGTATTTTATGTATTTAGGTATGGGTGTACATATGTATTTTATGTATATAGGTGCTTTGTTCACATCTATATTTGCACACCAGAAGAGGGCATCAGATGCCATCATAGACAGCTGGAACTGCCATGTGGGAGCCAGGAATTGAACTCAGGATCTGGAAGAGCAGCCAGTGCTCTTAACTGCCGAGCCATCTCTACAGGCCCATTTTCTTAAGTGACAACTGACATGGGAGGGTTCAGCACATTATGGGTGGTACCATTCTTCTGCTGGTGGTCCTGGGTTCTACAAGAAGGTCAGAAGGATGGCCATGCAAAGACCAAGGAAGAAGATGGCTATCTCCAGGCTGCGGAGAGGGGCTCAGAAATCAACAGCCCTGCCTGATGGAGTCACCTTGACCTCAGAAACTCAGACACATTCTCAGCCTCCAAACCCAAGAGAAAACAAATCCCTATTGTCTGAGCCATTTGTCTGGCATCCTGCGAAGGCCGGGTGTGTTTCCACTGTGGTGGGCTCCTGGGCTACATTTAGAAGGTCGGTGTGAAATGGGACAAGGCCTGCTCTTCAGCTGGTCAGGCCTAATGTTTCTGTGAGACTCTGGAGAGCAGCTCCACTGTAAGAGATCTGTGTGCACCAGAAGATTAAAAGGAAGGGGCCAAGATGGCGCCTCAATCTTGCCAGCATTTTGGGCATTCACATCACTGGCTGCTGCCCCCAGAGTGGCACCAACCTGTGGAGACACTGAGCAGTGGCTGGTGAAGGTGCTATGGAGGTGATCCCTAGCTCAGGACCAGCCACTGGCCTCTATAGTCATCTTTCCAACCCCTCGTGTCTGAGCCACCACAGCCCTCTCTGGGCTCCCACCCTCACCGGCCCCGTTTCCCAGCTTCTGGCTCCATTCCTCCTCCTGCCCATCATTTCCTTTGCACGTGAGTGTCTGTGTGTATATGAGCAGATGTGAATGTACCCATTCCGTTCAGCCTCTACGTCAGACTGGGAATTCCCAAGGAACCAATTGCTGCCCTTCCTGCTTTCTGCCTGTCCCCAGTGTCCACTGTCATCAAGCTACCTGTAGTTACCCTCTTTCCTCTGCAAGGTCTCAGAGTCAGCAAAAGTGGCGAAATAGCTCCCAGGTTCTTTGTATGGGCCTCTCCGCACTGGATTCATTATAGCCAGGCAAGTGAAGGGGCCTATGGCATTCTGGGGGGTTGATGGCCTGGAGGGCCAGTGGGTCAGAGATCCCAGAAGCTCCTCTGTACTCAGTGTCCCTGCAGATGGTGGCAGTGAGCAACCGCTCCATCAGCCTCAGAGTGGGAAAAGGGATGGCTGAAACTCCATGGGGGCCAAAGGCAAGTCAGGCAATGAAAGATAAAGACAGGTGACCCTTCCCCCAGCAGCCTTTCCTTAGCTCCAGCTCTCTCCTTGGAGGAGCCTCAGACCTGAGTCAAAGCTTCATTTTTGTGACTCTGCATGCACCAGGATATTAATAATTCATGCAAATCTGCAAGTTCAATGCTATGTCAGAAATAGAAATGTGATTGTCTATCATAAAATTTAAAACAAAGTCCTCAGCACCAAAGCTTTCTATAGACAGGGTTTCTCGGCACCCCGAAAAGGTGTGTCAGGAAAAGAGCTGCCAATACGTGTTGGCTTTCTCCTTCTATCCCCAAAGTCCTGCAGCCCACAGCAGCATTCAGGAGAGGCCTCTCCAGGGTCAGGGCTCCCTCCCTGGCTGATGGGCTTCCCTGAGCCCTACCTGGCACTGGATACCTGGAAGCTGTCTGGTGGTGATAGAGGCTAGGGTGGGAGAAGGGGACAGGTGGGAGAGGAGATCTCATCCTCTGTGTCCTTTCAGAAGAGCCGGGAGAGGAGAGGAGAGGAGAGGAGAGGAGAGGAGAGGAGAGGAGAGGAGAGGAGAGGAGAGGAGAGGAGAACAGAGGAGAGAAAAGAAAAAGAAAAGAAAGAGGGAAGAGGAACAAATCAAACTTAAGTCAGGACAAGAGAGAGAGAGAGAGAGAGAGAGAGAG